GCCGCTGCCGGAGCCGCCGCCCCGCGGGGCGGGAAAACACCCGCACACGGAGCCACAACCGGGCCCCGCGGCCCGTGAGGGACCGGGACCCCCGCGGCCCCGCACGGGACCCGAACCAGCCCCCTCCAACAGCCATGACGCGTCCTCATGGCTCCATACGAGCCTGGACCCCCCTGGCCCCACACGGGACAGGAACCAGCCCCCCACATGGCCACGACAGGTCCACATATGGGGATTGGGACCCCCCATATGGGACTGGGACCTCCCAGTCCCCCRGAATCAATCCCCAGGGCCCCACACAGCGCAGGGACCGTCACCCCTCTCTTTCCCCAGCCGAGACAGGTCCCTGCAGCCCCATTTGGGAACCCRGGCACAGCCAGGATGGTCCCTGTGGCCCTGCTGGGACAGGTCCCCATGGCCCCACATGGGACAGTGACCAACCCTACCACCGGCTCACATCCAAGATGAGTCCCACAGCCCCATATACGGAATGGGGGAGCTGGACCCTCTCCTCCCATCCCAGCAGCTCCTTCAGAGCCATCCACCCTTACTACACACTTACTACACACTTACTGCCACCACAGAGACAGTTTTCTGCATCACGCCCATTTTTTTCACCTATCCCACCAAAGTGAGATCCCTTGTCCCCCCCATAGAGACAAACGTCAGCCCCAAAGGGGCTGGAGAGGCCGGCACCACCGCAAATCCACAGCCCTGAAGCCAGGGAGAGGAAAYGCTGCCCAGCTCCAAAGGCAGCAGCTTGGCCCTTTGCCTCCCCAGCTCCTGTTTGTGTCCGGCTCTCCTCCCGTTCTCCTCACTTCTTCAGGGGAGATGGAGAACTGGAGGAAGCTGTGGTTTCCAAAGCTGTGTCAGTGCCACTTTTCCTCTAGTAAAACACTGCGTTGATAATTTGGTAATCACAGATTACCCTGCAATTAAGTAGCATGATCACACAAGATACTGTGTGGCTTCGAAAAGCAGATGTTAAAATTAAAAGGTAATATATTGCTAGGCAGATGCGAGGACAMAACTGGGGAGCTGGGAGGCAATGAGCCAAGGGGCACATCATGAGGCTCCTCATCACAGCAGGACTGGTTTTCCACTCTTTAGGCTCTGGGATGGTGAAGTAAATMCAATTTTAACTAGAATTTTCCTATTTTCTCCGGGCCTGCAGCACTTCTGCAGTTCCTGCACATCCCTGAAATATACCGTGACTTGAACACAGCTACTTTTATTCCCTCAGATCTCTCCCTGGACAAGCAGGGGGGATGTGTTGGCAGAAGATGCTCAAAAGCAGAACCAGACACACCACAGGGAAGCCCAACACCCCTCCYGGGAAGAGCTGTCCCCAAAAGGCACAGGAGCAGCTTACTCAGATGCTGGGAAACTGCGGCCACACTAAAATGCCACCTGAATACTAATGGCTGTTACAGTAACTGCATTTTCAGCTGCTTTTCTGTGAGGAGTAAAGGGAACAGCACTGCCCGTCGCCAGCCCTCGCAGGGGCAGCTCCATGGGGTGGTGAACTCCCCTGGGAGAAGAGCCAAGACAAACGGCTGGTGCTGCCCAGGGCCAAAGGGGACCCGCTGGGGCCAAAGGGGACCCGCCGGGGCCATCAGTGCAGGGCAGCTGACCCAGGGGAACCAGAACCCTTAGCTCAGCACTTGGCCAGAAACAGCTTGGCTGGAAATACACAGATGTTGAGTTTGCTCCTCTAAGTGCAGAGGATGCGTTTGTTCCTCTCATCTGTTTCCTGTGGACCAGAGCCTATATGGGATTTAGCCAGGCTGAAATAGGAAATCTGTGGAAAAGTTAGGAGCAAGTGTCCTGGCAGTCAGGCTAGAAGTGATCGCTGCAAATGCGGCCACTCTCTGAACTCGTGTATTTTCTGTTTCTTTCCTGTCAGGTGCCGTAACCTTCAAATTCACCCTGATAGAAGAAATTCCTCTCCAGTTTTTCTTATTTTCACCTTTTTCAAGCTCCTTAGTACCATTTACTCCTTCTAAATCATGAGGAGAGGATCATTCTTCAATGTCTTCAACGAGCAAACACCATTTTGTTCAGTTGAACATTATTACCGACCCCCAGATGGTCTGCCCACAGTCCAGGTTTGCTTTGGTTCTTGCTAACAGCGCTCCCTTGATGGGCTCTGACAAAACAAGCACTAACCACCCTCTGCTCTGCAACTGCCACCTGGCCGAGACAAAATCCTAAGCAAATAATTCTGCATCCAAAGGTCCCAATAGCTCAAACCTTTGAATCCAGCTCCTGTTGAAAGTTAACAGCCAAAGCTGCAGCCAGTGACCCGAGATAAGCAAGTCAAAGAAGGTTCAGGGGACCAGTGTAACATTAACACACAGAATACAGAAGGATACTAGAAATTAGTGATCAAACCCTGGTATCCAGCACTGGGACACACATGGACCCTGGCAGGAGTGAAGCAAGTGCCGTTGCACTTGAAGCAAGTGGTGGGCAATCCAAAACAGCAGTGACACACTCAGCACCAGAACTAGAAATGAGGTACAGGAATGAAAAAAAGAGGAGAAAGGCAGTATTTTCAGCTGGCATTTAATAGGAATCTGATTTAGAAATTACTAATCCACAGGCATTTTTAAGGCACGTGCACTGAAGACAGCTGTCCAAGCTCAGCTCCATCTTCTGTGAGTAATTAATTATTAAAAGATCGTCTCAGATCAGCCCTTGGCTTGCACTCAAATATGCTAATCACAACGGAAGAACGTGGCCTGTCATCTTGAAACACTGCAAATGCTGTCATACCACGAAAGGCTGTTCTTTTTGTTCCTGATTATTGCAAGGGGCTGTGTGAAGAAGCAAGGTCTATGTAAATATGCAGGTAGCAGTCTAAGCCCATCWGTGAGAATCAGCCACTGGTTCACTTGAACAAAAACCCGTATTTCAGCGGGTCCTCCTCTTCGAAAGTGAAGGTGGCGGTGCCAGTGTAATAGGCTTCTCCAGAGACCTCCACTATAACAGCATTGTGGTCCCCAAACCTGGTTTCCTGCAGAGAGATGAGGACAGAGGTGACAATTCATTAACATCAGCGTTGGAGATATTTCTCACCCCAGCCTTTCTTCGATGGCCAAGAGAGAATCTGCACCAAAGCCACACAACAGAACAAGGTCTTGCTATCCCCTTGCTTGCTTCCCTAATAAGAAATCCTGCAGCCCGATGCTGGTGGGAAGGCAAGACCCCCACACCCCTCCCTCTTTGCACAGCCCTTCCTTAGGTACAGGAGGGCTTTGAAGTCAAGGCATGAAGCAGTTTTCCAGCCAGTCCTCAGAGGAGCACAAACCACTTGCCTCCACCGCCTTGCCAGTGAAGAGGGACCCCGTCGTGCTGCTCCGGAAGGTTCTGGTCTGATTGAGCTGGATRAGCCCCTTGTGATACTGCAGGGCAATGCGAGCTGTCACCCCTGAACCTGTTGGACATCGGTYGACCTGCATTCAGAGGAGAACGTGAACCATGAGCTCCAGCAGTTTGAATTTTTAAWAGAAAAGAATACAGCACCCCTTAACTCTGCCACCTTTCTATTGCTCTCTGGCAAAATCCCCCTAACTCAATGGTTTGTACAGAATCAGGATACATCCAGAATGAAAAAACAAACGAGCCTGGAGTGTTGTTAGATTATGACCAGCTTTGGCCATCTATGGTGGCCTCAATAAACAGACAGAACAGACAGAAGCCACCTTCTCCATTCTTACATATCAAGCTCAGATCAGTTCTCATCATGCAGGCTTGAGAGTTGCTGCCAGCCAGTTTTTCAAATCTCCCCAAAATACCTTGTTGGCCAGTGATCCTTTCCAACAMTTCACACTCCTCACTGCTGAGAAGTCTAATCAAAACTTCCCCTGATATTTATGCAATTTTAGCTATCAGTTGAACACAAAAATAGAAGTTTATTCCTCTTTTGCCCTGCTTATGCTTTTAGCCCCAGTACAAGTTGCCTAGACAAGGATTTTTAGACAATTTACTGTGTGTCTGTTGATATCCCGTGCCTCAGTCCCTGAGATTCGGGAGATTCCCACCTAAAGGACAGAGGTAGGAGCCTTTATAAAATGCTGCCATCTGAGACATGCAGAGGCATTTCTGTCATTAGGAACTAAAATCTCATCTGCAAAGTGTCACTCAGATCTCCAAAGACAATGACCTCTGCAGCAGAAGGGCTCTGCCCCGAACATGGGCACACTTGTACCCGCAGAGCACGTCCACAGCAGGCGACGGAGGTCCCCTGGGTGGGAAGGGAGGTCCCCTGGGTGGGAAGGGAGGTCCCCCCGCGTGTGCGGCTGTACCTGCTCGTCTGCAAACACGCAGATGTTGGTGGTGGGCTCCTCGCTGAAGGCATCCTTCCCGTCGGTCAGTATGGTGCCGTACAGGAACGCCAGGTCTTCGCTTTCAGGGTGGTGGGGCTTGAACTGAGAGCAGCACACGCAGCTTTGCGGACACGCTGCACGGAGGCAACCCACACTAACAGCTTTGTAGCTCTAACGGCTACAGCAGTATGGAAAGGACCACGCTGCTGCACGTCTAGCTTTGCTCCTGACGTGCAAGAAAAAGTGGCAAAGATAGGTAATTTTACAGCATCTTTCCCCTGGAAAGGGCTGCTGTAACCGTGGTCAAGCCTTCTATGAGAAATCCCCAGCCCTCCCACCTCTGGCTCCTCACRGCAGAAATAATACACGTTTCCAGCAATATGTGGCCGGCCAGCAAGAGAAATGCCAGGAACACGTGAATTGTGGCTCTTCCCTGTGCCACGAAGCGGGACGGTGGCACCGAGCACCCCACGGCCGGCACCTGCGGGCGCCTCCGCGCCGTGCTGCGGTACCTGCTTCTTCACGGCCTCGGTGACGGCGCTCGCCGCCTGCACCAGCGCCCTGCTCGGGGCCGTGCGCACGTCCAGGCCCAGCCGCTCGGCGCTCAGCACCGCGTAGAAGGTGCCGCCGTAGCCCACGTCGACCAGCACCGTCCCGYGGCCGGGGACGTCCACGGGCAGCTCTGAGCGGGGCACGGGAGGGCCGTGAGGAGGGCGCGCGGGGGGGACACCCGTGCCCGGCCCTCCCGCGCCACGGCGGGCGCCCGGGGCTGCGCGGGGCGCC